ACCTTCATCCATTTAAGAGAGAAACATATGTTTAAACACAAAATGAATCCACACATGAACTCAGACTTCTCTCCATAATAAACAGTGGATTTACAGTGAGAGACATTTCCCTGCATGAGCGTATTAATGATCTTTAAACACTTGTTTATGTGTGTGAGGAGAAAGTCTTTTCTCTGATCACCTGACCCGGCCTCAGTCTATTTTCAGATCTCTGTTGTCACACTTTCCACCGTGCACACTAGCTGACGTTGCTCGGATTAGGATTTGACAGACTGCTGCTCCTCTCTGGAGCAAATCTCCTCAGAAGACTCTGTGGCACAGCGAAGGTCTCAGGGTCTTTGGCAAAGGTTGCAGCTCTGGTCTGTGACCCAGTGCCCTGAGGAAATCCGTACAGGCCACAGAGTGGAAACACTTTGCTTTTGAAACCCTAAGAGATTGTATCCTTCAGCCTGGAAATGATTTTAAATGAGTGTTCACACGTCAACTCTGGTCTTCTTCGAACATCCGAGTTTACACAACTTTCCAACAAGTTCACAAAGTGCGTCACAACCAGCAAAAAGCAGTTTAAGTCAAATAAAGTAGGGAATCAGTTCAGAGTACAGAGGAGTGAAATACAGAACAGCAGTAAAAAGAGGTGAAGGAAAAATACAGTAAAATATTTTATAGTTTAATTCAAATAAAAGCAGAGAGGATGAGAGCAGAAGAATTAAACATTGCACCTCTGAAACTAACTGGTGGTTCTGTGTCGTCTCTCAGCTTCTGGTTCTTAAAGTTCATCACCCTTCTCGGCACGTGCACGGCCGCCTTCTTCATCCCTACAGAGTCCTTCCTGCACGGTGAGAGACTCCAGCTAGAGGCCAGCAGAGAGCCACTCTGCTCTGATAGACCATGAATCAGCTGATCTCACTTCAAGCTCTCTGAAATCAGTTGATTCATGATTCACACATTCTTCTTTCACTTCCCTGAAACTAATCAAATGAACAAAGGCTCTTCTCTTTTCACAGCGTGGCATTATGTGGGTGTGGTCGGAGGATTCGCCTTCATCCTCATCCAACTCATCCTCATCACAGCTTTTGCACACACATGGAACAAGAACTGGTGAGATGAACATGAATCAATTATTTTAAATTGAGTGATATCAAATATATATGTAAATAATAAAAGATAAAATACAAACAGGTTAATTATCAAGTCAAACGTGTGGCTGCAGCAGATTCATGGAATTACACAAACAAGTGTAATTCTCAGGCCTCAAGTTACTGCTGGAAAAAGTCCTGGAAATTCTTTGACTGACGTGATGGACTGCAGAGACACGTCCGTTTACATCTCTGGTCAAAAATAATTTATACAATAACCGACTTATTAATGGTGAACATGATCAAAACCAATCAAAGACTGATTTTCACAAGAGAATTTTATCCTTCTGCTCCAGTTACTCACCTCGTCTAGAATAGTAAAATATTCACTTGACTGTAAATGAGACAAAAAACATCAAATCCTACAAATGTTTAGCATTTTTTCCCAAAATCGGATAAATGGTCATTTGATTAGAATATTGGCAGATTTCGACCGACCTTGTTGGAAGAATCAGCCAAGAAAGTAGAAATAAAAATCTATATTTGGCTGATTTAACTGATTTCATTCGGGGGTTGGCTTCAGTTTTATAATCAACTGGAGATAATGATTTCATGATCTGTATTGTTGGTTTAGCTTTAAGGCTCGGGTGAATTTCAGGGGACTGTTTCTGGAGGAACACGCTCAGTGAAATGTTGTAGTTCTGTTGATGTTTGTGTGTATTTTATGTTTTTGCATCAGTCTTCCCCGTCATGTCCTCATTCATTTAATCACTGTTGACAGCCCACTTGTTCCAGATGTTACTTGCTGTGTCCAGCTGTTGCTGTTGTGCCATCTCTCTCTCTGTCACCTCTGAACTCTGCTGTGACATGTCAGAGTTGTAGCTACAACAGTTGAGAGGATTTATTCAGTCAGGGGCTTTTCAGAGGGAAAATCCTCTTATTCAATATAATGAGGTTTTCATTCCCGTCTGTTCTTCAGGTTCAGGTCAGGATCCTCTAAAAACTAAAGTTACCTACTAAAGTAGTCCTCAGTGCAGGGAATCAAAGATGCAGGGAGGACAACTGAATTGTCTATTTGGAGTAAAGTACTTTTTTAAGATGACTAGAGAAACAAAACTGATCCTTAAAGGAGACACATTCTGCTTATATTCATATTCATTATTCTATTTGATTGTTGTGTGAATGTTTTCATGCTCTAATGTTCAGTATCACGTTCCTCAAACTGTCCATCGCTGCAGTGCCTCTTTTCAGTCTCTGTCTCTAACTCTTGGTTTTAGTTCCTGTCTCTTGAAGACCCCCCCCAGATAAAGTCTGCTCTGATTGGTCAGCTGCTCCACTCTTGTGATTGGTCAACAGCTTTTTTGGTTCACTCTCACTGTCTCATCAGGAACTTTAGTTTTTTCAGTGAACCGTCCGTCCAACTAATGAGTCACAGATTTCCTCCAGTAGCTAAAAATCGTCTTCAATTCTTTAAACTCTAAATGAATGTTTCTCCATAACAGCTGAATACGTCCTCAAAACGTTTCATATGAAACTTAAAAGTTGATGAAGGAAATATATTCTGTTCATATTTCCACTGTCCTCTGAAACTC